CAGTTCACCAGAGGAATTATACAGCTGGCATATAAGCACATAAAAAGATGTTCTACATCATTAGTCATTAGGAAAGCTGACATTGGAATCATGAGACAACATTACACACCTATTAGAATGTCTAGAATAAAAAAGACAACATAGCAACTGTTGGAGAGGATGCTCTCATACACTGCTGGTGGGAATGTAAAATGGCACAACCACTTTGGAAAACAGTTTGGCAATTTCTTAAAAAGCTAAACGTACACACACCACGTGATCCAGCCATTCACGCCTAGGTATTCACCCAAGAGGAGTGAAAGTATACGTCCCCACAAAAACTTGTACATGAATATTCAGAGCAGCTTTATTTGTAATAACCGCAAATTGGAAATAACTCAGATGTCCATCAACAAGTGAAAGGATAAACAAATTGTGATACAGCCAATGGAACATCACTCAGCAATAAGAGTGAACTGTGGATACATGTAAGAGCATGCATAAATAAGAAAATAATTAAGATGAGTGAAAGAAGCCAAACAAAAAAACAAGAACATACTGTATGATCCCATTTATGTTAAATTCTAGGAAGTGCAAACTAATCTATATTGACAGAAAGCAGATCAGTGCTTGCTCAGGGACAGACAGGGGCAAGAAAGAGCATTTACAAAGGGGTACCAGGAAATTTGGGGGGTCATTATCTTGATTTGGTAATGGTTTCATGGGTGTGTTTATATATATATGTCAAAACTTATCAAATTGTATACTTTAAATATGTGCATGTGTATATCAATTATACCTCAATAATGCTATTACTCTTTTTAAGTTAAAAAGGTAAAAATGAAATAAGGAAAACATTTGATATATGTATTAATATTAAATAGGATAAACTAAAATCTAACCTATTTGAACCCTTAAGTAAACATAAATTTCATTCTTGCTTTAAAGTAAAAATGCAAATAAGAAAAAAGTCAATCAGAAACAAGTGTGTATAGGACTCTATACGTGGTATCATAATATAGTCACTGATACCTAATAGTCCTATTAAGTAATTTAAAAGCACATTTCCAAGTGGACTATCCCTAGCACCCAGGGAATATCTGAAATGTGAGGAAAGTACTCAAAACCACCGAGTTACATTAAGAGTTTTAATTAACAGAAAATATTACAATTCGATCAAACATTAAGTATGTAGACTGCATATAGACACTGAGATCTGGGGTGACCTCAGTCTCTAAAGTCCATTTACTTGACTCAAAAGCTTTAGTGATATTTTTCTTTTCCTATGCCAGGCTTCAAAAACTATGAGGTGTGTTTGCTTCTGGGTTCATCTTCCTGGTTTCCTGGAATGCCACTACAGGTGCTGAGGCTGGGAGGCACCCAGGACAATCCTTTCAGCTGCACCTAAACTGAAATGCTCTCCCCTCACTCTGCCACTGCTGGACCCACTTCTAGTTGTATTTTCTGCAATCTCTTCAATTTACTGCCCTCTGGAAAGTTATAGGCCATAACTGCCCGGTATAGAAATTTGCAAAAACAAATCCAATGTCACCATGGGGAAGGGAGCTTAATGCCTTTTACACGTGCTCATCATCTTTCTATTTGATCACTTTTTCTGTCTTAGGAAAGGGCTTGTCTTGCTCAGTTTTTCCTGCAACTTCTTCTCCTCCTTATATTACTTCCTATGTTATAGTTTTGTTATAATTATCAAATAACTTTGGTATATCTCCTAGAATTCTCATATTTTCAATATCGTTGCCAACAGCTCTGCATCCACATTCACAAGGTTTTGCACTGGAGGTCTGTGTCAAATCATAAAGAGGATAGGAATTGAATTATTCCTATCACATTATATTTACCAGAGCAGGGGATTTATTAGTTCATACAGAAGAGATTCTTACCCGGAAAGGCTCTACCACAAGGATTATTTTTCAACGTAATTGAGTCAGGAAATCCTTGTTGACCACTTAGCAGTGTTTAAACACAAACCCTTTGGAAACTTGCTCTTCCTTTGGCTTCTAGAACTCCTGTTTAACCTGTTAACTTCTCAAGTTTACTTTGACAGCTCCTCCTCCTAGTTTATTTGCTCTGTGAGTGAAAATGTAGACATTTCCCAGGCTTCTCTGAACTCTCTGCCAAAAACATCTTATCCATCCTCATTCGTGGTTTAATATTTCTCCACTGATACTTCCAGAATCTTCCCCTCTCTCCTGTCTCTAGACTTCGCTGTCCAATAAGAAAACCACTAGCCACTAGTGAGAACTTGATATGTGGCCTGTCCAAATTGAGATGTATTGTAAGGATAAACCACACATGGATTTTGAAGACTTTAATACAAAAAAAAAAATAATAATGTAAAATATCTTACTAGTATTTTTATATTGATTATATGTTAAAATAATACTTTAGATATCTTGGGTTAAATAAATATATTACTAAAATAATTTTACCTGTGTCTTTTTATCCTGTCTGAAATTGTGGCTACTAGAAAATTTAATATTATATATATTAGCTCACGTTACATTTCTACTGGACAGCACTGCTCTAGACCTAAAATTCAAACTGACCATTTAAACTGAACATACTAGGAACTGAACTCAGTCTATTCCAGACCCACAAGCCTGCTCCTTCACTGTTATTACAGAACAAACATCAGTTGGCACGAGACAGATACATTGCATGACGTCAGGCAATTTCCCAGCTGCTGTTGGGGAAACTGTACGGCAAAGGTTAACTCTAGAATAAATTACTTACGAACAGGGTGACAGGATGACTCTGGTAATTGTCAAAGTGCCTGTCAACACTGCTCACGGGCAGCTGCAGCAGGAATGTTGTAGGACTGGGAAATAACACTATAAGCATTTGACTAGAAAGGTGCAGTAGCAATTAGGAATGAAAACAGCCAGGGATTTGCCAAAATAGTGGAGAAAGTTTATATGCATTTGAAGTCAGAAATGTTGGCAGTTACACACTGTGACACATTCACTGCAGTTACTATACCCCACTCTCCCCTGCCATGTGCTAAATATTTTCTTCATTCTCTTGGATAATGGAATCCTTCTCCTCATCTAGCTTGGAACTTGGAGTCACTTTTGACTTGACTTTTTTCTTTATTCCCCATAACCAAGCAAACCCCATTTATTCTACCTACATCCGGTACACCACACTCTCATTTTTTCGCTCCTTAAAGAAAACCAGAGAAGGGAGACATAGATCCTTATGCTTCCCCCACGGTCCCAAGAAGGAAGAGCCCACAGTAAGGCCTGCCTCTCTATCATGACAGAGTAACTTATAAAAAGCAAGGTCCTCTTCTTTACAGTTGTGCTCCAGTAGAAATAGCAGATAGTCAGGAATGCAAATAGATGAGACAGAGAGGCCCTCAGGATACCTAACGATGACCTGGGATGGGTCTAGAACAAACAAACCCTACTTTCTTTCTTATTCCTCTAACACATATAAGCTGTGTGGGTTCGTGAACACAGTTTTAACACTTGACATAGCAGAATACAACTCATAAATGATTTTGGATGATTATTGACTTGCATTAGAAGAAATAATTGAGAGTTGCATATACACATGGCACATATGTCAATTGAACTGTAACGTGTAAACCTTATTAAATTTACAACTTTCTGAGTAGTCCAGAAATTCTCTTCTTAATGTAACTGGCAATTGTCTAAGCATATGTTATATGTCCGACACTTTACTGGGCCACTTAATTTTGATAGCTTTGTTTTTATTTTTAAACTGTATACTTATGGCAAGTTAGGTTGTGCAAGTCCTTGTTCCATAATAGAATGTATAATTTTAAATTAGAAAATCTTTTTTGAAGTGTGAACATAATCATGTAGAAATGATGGCATTTTTATCATTCTTTAGCAATTTGAAATTAACATTCCCAATATATTTTTTATAATTTGCTTTGAAAAATTAGCACTTAGTTTAAAAGGTGCTTTTTATGCCAGCTTTTTGCTTGAAGAAACTAATTTGGCCTAACCTATGTGCTATAAAAACAGATTTATAATGGAAAAGTTGACATATTTAAATGTAAATTGGGTTTAATTTAAGAAAAATTAACATCACATTCTTCAACTATAATAGGTTTGAAGGATAAATTAAAATAATTGCGTCAAAAAATTACCAATTGGTATTTTAAGAGTATTATTCCTCCTAAGATATTTCATATTCAGCATATATAAAGTTGACTAGATATGATTAACTAGAGATTTTACTTTAACTCTTGTCTGAAAGATCAAGCCCACTTTGGGTATACATTTCAAAACGTAAATGCACCTCGTTATCATGGGCTCCAAATTGAAGTAATAAGCAGTAAAATTATATTGTACCAGAAAACAAGCTACAGAAAAGAACTAACATTTTAAATCAATTTTTCCTAATACATGTAAGCTGTTCATGTACTCTTAAGTATTTTTATGTTTACTGTGATCAAAATATCCCATTCAGAAGCTCTAGGTGGTTTCCAAGTACAAGTACATTAAAAATCTATGTGCAGAAACTCTCCTACCTATATATTGATTAAAGGCAAAGAAAATCTGATGTAAATTGTTTTTTGAAAAAATGTCTTTGAATTGGTCCTTTGCTATCGTGGTTAAAACTGTCAAGCTATAGTCTAGTTGTGATTTCAGCCAATTCCTTTGTTGTTTAGTTGGTGCCCGTATTTTATTATTTAAGTGCTAAGTAATTAATACATTATATAGAATTATGAATACCACTGATTATTGATGTGCTGTACATTTCCTTTAATCAAATTCAAATTATGGAATGATTACTTATTTTACTGATTCCATTTTATATTTTTTGATTTAGAAAAATTTTACCTCCCCACAACTTTTTTGCAGCATAAGCCTTGATCACACACAGCTCAGCTGCAGCCAGGACCCAATGAGTAGGCAGTTTCGTGTGTTCAAATACCTTCTTTAGTAAAACCTTAACATGACTTAAGTTTCTTTCCAGCCACATTTACCTAACTCAGACTAAACCACAAAGTCAATCAACTGTACCTTGACCGCGCCATTCTCATGCATGGTGATGCAGTTATCGGCGTCTTCTGAGAGTTGGTACAAGGCTTGAGCTGTTGCTCGATGCACGTTGGTGTCATTCGATTTCAGGTAACGCACTAATGGAGCCACTGCTTTGTGCTCGCCAAAGGCCACTCTGTTTCTGCCCCACATACAGCAACGTGAAACAGCTTCTGCTAGATGACGCCTCAGTTTATCATTATTCTGCACAAAGGAAACAAATTGTTGTATGTGCACCGTAATGATCCTGTGAGATCATGTTTATGTGCTAGATGTTTATTGCCCACTAAGATGCCAATGAGCCAAGAGAGAAGGGCTAGCTGGCTATTCAGGCAGTGTCTTGAAGGGAACCAGTATTTTGGTGGGTCATCAATGGACCAAGGTTCAATCTTGAGTTTTCTTTTTATGACCCGAACATAGTCGGTGCACTCAAAGGTGACCAGGTGTCTGGCATTAGTTATTTTCTCAAGGCTAGATTTCCTTTTGAGTAAGTCTACTTACAACACAGAATTACAGATCAAGAAGTGGTTTAGTAAAAAAATAATTCTTAAGGGAGCATTTCACTTAAGTGGGATAAGTGGATTAACTCTACTTCCTTACCCTAGGAATACTTCTGCATCAGGAATACATGTTGGTTCCCAAAAGAGAGAAGACAGTGCAGCAAACAATGACATGTTTTGAGTCCACCATTTTCCTTTCTGCATTCTTGATGAAGACTATGTCCTTCTTTTTGTATGTTAATTACCTTATATAGGTATAATATAATTGAATAGGATATCACTTTCTGTTTGTTAATTGTACTGTTCTCTTGATTCAGGCAACAACTTGGTGTCCTTAACTGAATCTGGCAGATAGGAACTCAGCATTAGACTGGCCCTAAAAGTCCTCTAGACCAAGCATCCTCCCAACGATTGAATTTCTGCTCTATGACTTTTCTGCCAAGTGGTAGTCCAAGCTGTGCTCAAATACCTCTGCTCATGGTGAAGTCATTATCTTTCAAGGCTGCTTATTCTATCTGGCACAGCTCTGGATAAACAATACAGTGATTGCCAAAGTCTTCTAGCTCAAGAATGCCATCAATCCAAGCTTGCTGAGGTGCATTTAAATTCTAAAGTTGGCATGAACAGTTATCTTAAGGATAATAATAATGATGGTGACGAAGATGATAGTTAACACTTACACAATAACATTTATATTTTCCAACACTTTGCTTGTCGGTGACAATTAAAAAACAGCCTCTATTTTATAAGGATCTTGCATATTAACATTGTCCAGTGTAAAACATACTTTCACGTTGATTTGTCTCAGAGAAATTACATGAATTAACCAAACTCTCATACATCATAAGTGAGGATATTAAGCTTGAATCCAGGTCTCTGAACTTGAAGCTCATTGTTTTTGCCACTACACCATGATATCTTATGACAATATGCATTTAAAATAAAAAGATGGGTTACTTACTGTATTTGCTAGTTTAGACAATAAAGGGACAACTCCATGATCTGTAATAACAGCTAAATTTTCTTGATCTTTGGCTATATTGGTAATAGTAGCACATACACCCGCCAAAACTTCTTTATTATCTGATTTCAGTAAATTGACAACAAGCTCCAAACCACCAACAAAGGAACGAACCATTTCTCCAGCATCCTAGGTAATAATAAAAAAAAAGATGATATCAAAAATAAACCTATATTTAGGCACTTTTCCAAAGCAGAAAGTAATGACAAGGCTGTGAAGTGCATCTTTGGCATGAAAAACAAATTCGGTTTTAATTTATTTCTATGTTTTACATAATTTCTGTGTATGTATATAAAGTATGTGTGTGTGTATACATACAATTCAGTTTCAACAAATATTTATTGAACAACTATTATGTGAGAGTCACTGTACTAACTACTGGGGATATAGAAGTTAATAGTTGAGTCTTATTTGCAGTTATGTTCTATAAAGTAATCACAAAAACTGAATTAGTGAATACTTGACCACTGCTCCTAGAAGAAATACAGGGTTAGGTTCCTGCAAGCTTCTGGTCACATTTTCATCAACTGATCAGTAAATAACCTTATTTTATGTTTGTTTCTGTTTAAAGACATCTTATTTCACATATTGTTAATTCATTAACACTGAACTCATGGACAATACAACAATTCATGCCTGAATGAAGCTAATCTAACATGTATTTTCTCTGTAAGGCTCATCGCAGCCTTCTTGCGCTTAGGAACACTAGACAGCATTTCAGTACAGTGCTTGGGGGCCATTTTATACAGTGAAATCACTAACAAAAACCAGAAAAATCCAGAAAATGTGGCACTAAGTAGACCTTTGTTTACAGTATGAGAGCTAAAACAAGGAGGCAGAGCATCATCGTGTTTAGCCTTAGCTGAGAACGTGTGTGATGGGTGACTCAAATTCTTTACCTTTCTGTGTGTGTCCGAGAATGACCGAGGAAGTGCTCTGAGTATTGATTTTGGGGGTACAAAAAATTTTAGCAAGTAGGCAAATTCCCAAACAGAATCTGTGAATAATATGGATTGACCGTGTACACTCTTTTGCCATCACATTGCTTACAGTCTAGTGGGGAAGGTGGGCATTAAGAAATTACAGGTATAACGAACAGCATTAAGGAGGAAGAGGTAAAGATACTACAGATACACACAACAAGGGAGTCTCCGCTGGTGTAAAGATTCAAGGACTGCTTTCCAAGAGGCTGTCTGTAAGCTGAGGCCTAAGGGGTGAGGAGTCATCCAGTGCAAAGGGGATTCTAGATGGAGGAATCATCATGTAACACAGATCTGAGAGTGAGAGAGAGGTGACTTTTGTCTCCTTCAGAATGGTTAGAGCACAAAATAGGACAGAGAATGGGAGAAAACAAGACTTAGGAGGTGGGATCTTGAAGGGTCTTATAAGCCTTGGTAGAGAGTCTGGTGTTCACTTTAAGGGCATGTGAAAGCCAGTGCAGAGGTTTAAGTGTGCATCTGGCAAGTGAGGTGGGGAGGAGATTTTATCAATTTAGCATCATGGAAGATCTCTCAGAATTGCAGAGCTGGGATTGGGGCAGAGAACGGTGTTGGGAACTCAGAGGCTATTTCACTGAGTTCAGATAAGAGGTGGTGATAGTTTGGATACAGGTGATGGTCTAGGCCTGGAGAGAAGGGTGTGGGTTTGTGAGTATTGATTGGAGAAGATAAGGACGAGTGATCCAGTGATGATTCCCATGCTTCTGGCTTGACCTAGTGGTACTAATGTTGGAAAGGGAGGGTTTTGTTTTGCTTTCTTGGTTGGGGGAAGGGTGGTATTTGGTATTAGAACATCCAATTTGAATGATGTACCCACAAGACATTTAAGTGGAGACATCCAGGAGTCAGTTGGATATATGGGTTTGGAGCTCAGGAAAGAAAACTAGGCTGCAGGAGTAATTTGGAGGTCATCAGCATAAAGACTATAACTGAAGTAATGAGTGTGAAAGAGTGGAGAGTGAGATAAAAAGGGGCTCTCCATCCCAGGGTCGCAAGCATGGGAAGAGGGAAAGAATTTGTCAGAGGAACCTGAAAAAGACAGTTGAACAGAAATCCCCACCTCCCCTGATATATGGCAGTGGCTGTGTAATGCCCACCAATTATTTGGCTTCATGGCTTTCTCAAATAATAGAAATTAACATTTTTGAGCACCAATTATATATCAGGCACTTTGCATAAATTATCTCAGTTAAACCTCACAATAACCATGCAAAGTAGTTATTATTTTTTCCATTTTAGATTTTAAAAACTGAGCTCCAAAGATGTTGAACCTCATAAACTAGATTGTATCCCTCTCGAAGGCAGGGGCCATGTTTTAGTAAACTTAGTGATCTTTATAAATCATAAATCAGATCGTCTGATCCCTATAACCCCCAAATTCTCCCACAGCTCGCCCCTGCCCTTGGGATAAAATCCAAACTCCACATGTGGTTTACAAGCCCTTCATGGTGTGCCTCCAGCTTCCCTGCCTCACTTTCTCTGCTTTGATCTCCCTTTACCAGCCCCCCAGCAGGCACTAAGCCAGTGGCTCTCCACGGGAGCTAATAATCAGGATCCTGAGACTTATTCTCTGAGAATGTGATTCCTTAAGTCTGGGGTGGGGCCTACAAAAAAAAAAAATCTGTATTTTTAAAAACTCTCCTGGTGAGTCTGAACTTCAGCTCGTACTGGGAACACTGTTTATGCATCAGTCCTTCAGGTTGCATGTCCTCAAATGTGCTGCTTGCACATGTCTCCACATCCTTGCACATGCCTTTTTTGTCTACTTTCTTATTAGCTTGGGAATGCCTACCCATCCTCAGCTACCAACTGAGGAATCCATTTTCTTCAGGAAGCTCTTCCTGAACCTCAAGTCTGGGTTAAGCACCCGCTCCTGTAATACCTGTTCTTCTATATTATAGCACTTATCACTCTATGCAGTAGTGGCTTATTTATTTGCCTTTGACTTCGAACTGTAATTTCCAGAAGGGCAGGGATTCTTTCTGTCTTGTTCATTGTTGTACGCCCAGTGCCTATGCCAGTTTCTAGCAGTGAGAACATGCTCAATTAATATTCATTGCATTTGATTATTTATAATTATATTCATTGCATTTGATTATTTGCAAACTCGCAGTGATAAATGGAAGCCCTCACCGAGGGCATAACAAATCAAACGAAGCTTCTAGTAAATGGTGAAGGAAGAACTCAGGTCAGGTTCCTCCTAAGTGTAAGGGCAAAGCATCTTTTTCCATATCATGGTGCCTCTCTGAATTGCTGTGGGAAGTAATGTCAGCAATACTGGTGGTCTCGCTCTCCATGTCAAATTTAAATACAATTTCTGATAGTTAGGACACATTTCCAAATTCTGATGTATTAATAAAATTATCTGGAAAATATTTAATTGGCATTTTTTTCTAAAATTCTACAATAATGTTTTTTAAATAATACAAAAGAAATTATTATACTTTCAACTGTTTTCTACATTGTCACCTTATTACACTTCTATGCATTAGGATGCAATTAAATCAAAAGATTATAAATATGAATTTATTAACCTTCAATCAAATATCCAACATAATTTAATCCAAATTACCCTTTGAGGTACTTAGTAGTGGTAATTGTTGTAGTAGTATTTCCACGTTACAGATAAGGAAAACCTCACAGGAATGAATTAATATATGAAAAGAAAAGTGGTAAGTGGCAGAAGTGGGATTTGGATCCACATCTGCTTGATCCCAAAGCCACTCTACCATATCGTGATTATGCAAATCCTAACCACATACTTGGTGCAAATGAGGTAAATTCATAATCCTAACCACATACTTGGTCCAGATGCACATGTAAATTCAAAAGCAAAAACAACGGCTCTTAGAATTTCAGGGAACTGCAAAAGCATAGCCCAAAAGCTCAACTTTTCTAAGTGATATCATATGTGTCAATAATCTAATACATTTGTCAATTATGAAATTACAGAACAATTTTTTTTTCTCAAGAAAAACTGGAGGAATTCTGGAAAAATGATGGTGGCCTAGTTTTGGAATCTCCCTATAAAAATGCAGCAACAGGGCCGGCCCCGTGGCTTAGTGGTTAGGTGCGCGCGCTCCGCTGCTGGCGGCCCAGGTTCGGATCCCGGGCCCAGGTTCGGATCCCGGGCGCGCACCGACGCACCGCTTGTCTGGCCATGCTGAGGCCGCGTCCCACATACAGCAACTAGAAGGA